GCCCCCTCCCCCCCTGCCCCCACACGTCGCCCCGGTGGCCGCCTGGCAGGACGACGAGACTCCCCTGGCCATCCGGGACATGTCGGCCGTCGCCTGGCGGGTGGCGTCCTTTTTCGTCGACCCATCGGCACTCGAGCAGACGCCCCGCCCCGTCCACAACGCGACGCTCTTCGGCCGGCGCATCAACAAGGCCATGGAGGTGTTCGTCCGCAGCGCTGTGTCGGCGGCGGGCAATCAGCAGGTGGTGGGAAGCGGGGGCAGCAACAAGAGGGACAGCCAGGGGGAGCGGGTGCGCCGCCCGCCACTGCAGTGCTTCGTCCTGGGCGGGGCGGACGGCCGCAGACTGGGTGTGCGTGAGGTGATCCACAGGGCTCGGCTGGACGAGGCGGCGCAGCACGGCGTGGAGGGGGTGGTCAAGGGCTTTAACACCCACCTCGGCGATAGCGACTGCCAGTTCCAGTGGCAGCAGCTGGGGTATGTGGGCAGCGGTGGGGGCTTCGAGTCTCTTGCTGCCGCATTCCAGCCGCCCGCGGGGCCGAGTGATAGCGAGGCGTCGGACGATAGCAGTGGAGATGACTTAGACGAGGGAGAGGATGGTGACGGTGGCGAGGGGTCGGCCGGTGGTGTTGGCGACGTATCTGACGAGGGGGAGGGCCACGGGCATGATGATGATGATATGATGGAGGAAGAATAGTAGTGGCCTGGGCTGCAATAACAGGAGGGGTGCTGTCTTAGTGACGATGGGACGAACAGACGGATGGATGGATGTGTGCATGTGTGACTGCCTGACCGGCTGTGTGGTGTGTGTGAGTGAATGTCTTGTTTGTAATGTGATGACATAATTAATGGCTCCTTCTTAGCTCCAGCCGGGTCATTTCTCAATCTAGCCCTGTGCCACGGCATGGCATCTACCGCGCACTTGCACACCAAGCGAAACTCTTGTCGGATGCACGAGAGAATTTTCACCTGTGCATTTCACTGATCGCCACAACGTAAAGACGTCTAGCTGGCAAACTCACTCAACGCCATTGTCCACCCACTGCCCGCCCGGCCCTCTCTGAGTACTGCCTGTCACGACCCACAGCTGCCCTCCTACCATGCCCCTTGTTAACCACCCCACCACCAGCAGCCCATTTCCTGGCCTTCTCCCGCTTCTTCTCCCTGGACCTTGCCTCATGGATCTCGCCCCTCCTTTTGCGCAGCAGCGCCAAAGCGCTCTGAATGACGCTCCTGTCCCTCTCCCCTGCTGGCCCCCCTGGCGCAGCGACCACCTCGAAGTCATCGATACTGGCTGCATTCATATGGTCAGCTGCATCGGCCGCCTCGGTGCGTCGCTCCTTCTTGCTGGGCTTGTGGGACGATGCTGATGCTGACGTGTCGCGCTTGCGTTTCCCCCACTGTGTTGTGCCTGGGAGAGGCCGGCTGGTGCTGGCGTCTGGACCACCGTGCTGTGTGTGGGGGTGGGCTCCGTGGAGTGCCTTGCCAGGTGCCTCGGAGAGGCCGAATGAGGAGGCATAGTGTCCGAGGTGGATGGCTCGGGGGTTGAAGAAGGCCTTCAGCTCCTTCTTGTACGTGTGATACGCCCTGCAGAAAGCAGACACACACGCAGCACAGGAATGAGCTATCTGGAGTGTTGTGTGTCGTGCTGTCATTCCAACACCCACCTGTGTGCCGATACGAATGCTCTGCGGGCTTTGGCGAGGAGGTCGGGGTCGCGGGCCACAGACTTGCACACAAACGAGCCGAGAAAAGAGGCCAATCCCTGAAGGATAGATACAACAGACCAACACACACACACACACACACACACACACATGTGTGTGTGTGTCCGTCGTGTGTTGGTCTGCCGCCCTGTCGTGTCGGCTGCTGACTTTGAGTTTGAGTGTCTTGAGGTGTTGTGCCACTTGTGCCTCCTGGAAGAGGTGCAGGATGGTGAACTCCGAGAGGAGCTTGACGTCCACACGGTGCTGCTTCAGACACTCCACATACCCCACCTCAGATGGCAACAAAAACACCACCGCATTGCCCTGACAGACAGACAGATGGACGCAGAATGCCCCGGTTCGCTGCATTTGGCTGACGTCTTTGCCGAGACGGGCAGTGCGCCCCACACGGTGGATGTACTCCTCGACCTCCTGCGGCGGGTCATACTGCACAATCCAGTCCACATGGGGCAGATCCAGCCCACGGGCGGCCACATCAGTCGCCAGCAGAATCGCCCGCCTCTGACGCGTGAAATCAGCCAAGT